TTCCTTCCTTCCTTCCTTCCTTCCTTCCTTCCTTCCTTCCTTCCTTCTGTCCTTCCTCCCAATTTCATGTCTGTGTATTTATAGGTGCGTTTTTTCCATGTATGTTGGCATGCCTGTGCGTAAAATGATGTACATGGTTGCATCTGCACATGGAGGCCTAAGATTGATGTCACTGGTCTCTCTTGGTTGCTTTTCTGCTCTTCATTGAGGCAGGCAGATTTTCTCAATCAAACCTAGTGTACTGGCTGGTTTTGTGTGGCAACTTGACACAAGCTGGAGTTAGAGAAAAGAGCCTCCCTCGAGGTAATGAAGTCATGAGATCTAGCTATAAGGCATTTTCTCAAATAGTGTTCAAGGGTGGGAGGGCCCATTACTGGTAGTGCCATCCTTGGGCTGGTAATCTTGAGTTCTATAAGAAAGCAAGCTGAGCAAGTCAGGGGAAGCAAGCCAGTAAGCAGCATTCCTCCATGGCTTCTGCATCCGCTCCTGTCTAAGTTCCTGCCCTGTGTGAGTTCCAGTCCTGACTTCCTTTGGTGATGAACAACAATGTGGAAGTGTAAACTGAATAAACCCTCTCCTCCCCCACTTGCTTCTTGGCCATGATGTTTTGTGTAGGAATACAAACTCTGACTAGGACACCCAGAGATCACCAACATTGCTACTCTCAGTAGCCAGCTTCTCTGGGGGACGCTCTGTCTCTGTCTTCTGAAGCTAGAATTGCTGCTGTTTGCCACACCCCCACCATTTCCACAGGTGCTGAGGATCTGAACTTCGGTCCTCATACTTTTACACCAAGTTATTTTTTTTAATCACTGAGCTATTTGCCTATCCTGATTAGAATCACATACATTGACACTAATAATTAACAAAATGGCACTTCATTGGGAATTCTGAGCTAGGGCTCTCACTTATTATTTGAATTAAATCTCTAGACTTGAGGGTTACAATGTGAAGCTAACATATGTACATGCAATGAAACAGTTCCCGCCATATTAAAGTACCTGACCAACAGTGGCCATCTTTAAAAGTTACAATTTTCTCTGCCCTTGACAACAGGGGGCCATGATTTGTTTGGCACAAAAGCAGCATTAGAGCCAGTCTCTCAGATATCAGGGCCTCGACTCTAGCCAGAATCTTTGTGAGACAGTGTTATCTCATACATCTCAACTTTGGGTCATCTGTTCTAATTTAAAGACTCTAGCTGAAAGTCGTGTGCCAGTCCTGATTCTCTGTCAGCTAACTCTTCTTCCCTCCTAGCTTCTGGCCCCAGTTTCCCTGAGTAAAACCATTATATCAGGTTATCTGAGGTAAACGCTGCCCTTGTATCAAGCATAATGTAATCTTCCCTTTCATACTTCACACTTCCTACCAAGAAGAAGCTGGAAGGGTGGGCGGAAGTCAGGCCACAGTTGCCACTAGGAGGCAGAAGCAGAGGCAGAGGGGCAGAGGGGTGTAGGGGCAGAGAGGGGCAGAGAGGGGCAGAGAGGGGCAGAGAGGGGCAGAGAGGGGCAGAGAG